AAGACTTTACAAAGAATTGAACAACAGTTGAATATCATACAACAGACTACAGCTATCTCCAATAGTTTGAACCAATTCGTAAGTACTTACTATATAATTATTTTATATAGTCTAAATAAAATATAAATTGCATAATAATTTCTATTACATTTAGGTTATTCCAAAAGACTCGCATTGAGACGTTTACATGCTGTTTCTGATAAACAAAAAGATATCATTGATATTAAGAATGCCAAATAATTATTTTAATAATTAAAGAGACCATCAAGAAAATAATTTTTACTGTATAATAGTAATTCGACATAATTGATAATATATAGTAATATATTTTTATAATTAGAATTAATTTATTTTTAACATTTTTATTTATTAATATTTTTATAACTACAAACTTTTATAGCTTTATGAATTTATGTTGTGTGTGCCTGAGAAAGATATAATCTATAAATTCTTTTCATAGTATATGTTAATGCATTAAACGAAAAAATGAGAAACTATACTGTTGGATATCTGCGTAGAAGATGTGTGATTTGTTTATGTGTCAAATTCTTACTGTTTGGGACAGGTACAACTTGCTCCTGTTCCATTTGTGTGCGCTTTACATTTTTCAAGTAGGTTTTGTAACAATGATCCAATACTTTAAATTGCGGGATACACCTTGCATCGTCATACTCATTTTGATCAAGACATGTTATAAGCAGAGATAACTCTTGCAAACATCCGTGTTCTGAAATAAAATATTGCAATTATGACATATATAAATACTCTATTGTCAGCAGTAGTAAATTTATTATTATTGGAGTATTTGTGTCGCCAGTAAAGAATAAATTAAGAAATTATTTTAACGACCCAACTGGCTTAAATCTTCTTTATTAATCAACACTTCATCAAAATATCAGACTACATTTCGATCTTTGGTTTAGGTCCTTTTTAAGTCTCAAATTACCACTCCTTACTACATATCTTACCACTCTTACGGAAAGTTGATTTTCTTTGTACACAAAGAATTATTAAGTAAAAATTTTAGTTTTTTAAATTTGAGACTTGAAAAGAACCTAAACCAAAAGTCGAAACGTAGTCTGATTATATTTTTATAAAGTGTTGATTAATAAAGAAGTTTTAAGCCAGTTGGGTCGTTAAAATAATTTTTAATTTATTATTATTGACTATATTGTATAGATTAAAACACAGTAATAATTAATAATTATAAAATTGATTTTTATAGAGAAACATGTGTACCTGTTACTTTCTGATTTTTTGAGGATACATGATTCTTTAGTTTTAATGGCAGCATCGCCTTAAAAGGTACTTTGTTCTCATTTTGAGGTGCTCTAGCGTTACGGCAAAATATCGATGTCAATCTCATTTTTCTATAAAATAGTAAAATTGTTGTATTGTTTATAGTAGTGAGGTTATAAAATTTTCATGAAATCGTGCAAAATCATTGAATGAGGCAGTTTCTTAGATTAATGTGTAAAAGCTATTGCTATCACGTATAATAAAACATATGTTGATAATATTGTTAATAAATATTCACATACATGAATTATTCATAAAAATCGTCTGCTGCAAGTTTTATAATCGACTATAACCGGTAGTATTCGGTTTCGATTGTGGTTTTACATGTATCTACACAGATGGCATCACTATCGCAATTTATTATTTTATTTCCAATATTTTTGGCCAGATGGCGTTGCCGAGACCTCTCTAGTGACTTTACTCTCTCCTTTTCATTTTATTTTCAAGAACCCAATAAATAAAATTGTCGATTGTTCAACTTGTCTCATCTTCGTCTCGTCATCCTATTTTTTCTTTGTTGCAATATAAAACGTAAGAAAATAAATTACATTAGTTGGAAGAGCAGTCGCCCGGCAAGCGGAAAGTCTCGGGTTCGATTCCCGATTCAGCCGACTTTCGGATCAATATTTTTCTCGCCTATTTCTTTACAGGGGATGTTAAGAGAAGGAACAAGGGGAATTTCTGAGATCCCAACCATAGGATTCAAATTCCTTAATTTCCAAATTTTCTTTCTTTCTTAATTGTCGCAAAAACAAGGGTGGTGGAACTCATAAGCCTAGTGGAGAACTCTGGGCTGAGTACACATCACCCAGTTTAAAGACAAGAGTGAGGAGACACAATGGATCTCGCTAGATCTAGGTGCCGTCGGGGGCCAAGTCATGGAACCACTCACTACCTATCTACTACTACTACTACTAATTGTCGCAATAACATCGCGTTTGGCTCTATTGGTCGAGAGGAATGAAGTGTAGATTGTGGTTTTAAAATAAATTACATTATGTAAAATTGTATTACAGTGCAAACATGCATAAAATTGTATTACAGTGAAATTCGATTTTATTCATACAGATGAGAGATAAATTTAAATTAATTTTTTTATTATTATTAACTTTTATATTATTTCTTCTTTTTTAATGGAGCAAATTTATTTCAAATTTACAAAGAGCAAAGAAGAAAGCAGATTTTTTTATAGCAATAAAGTCATATGAAGAAAAATATACATCGTACCAAAATATATGGAGCAGTTCGAATCAAACAAGTGTCTTTATCGCTGTGATAAATGAATCGGAGAATGAATCATATGCTAGTGGAAATATGTATATATATAGGTGAGTTCTTGGAGGCGGGAGATATCGTGTAAGAAAAGAGAAGGATGCATTTTCGAGATCACGAAAGTTCCTCGTGCGTTTGATTGTGATTAAATCGCACCGTGTAGCTGCTAAAAGGCAGCATAACCTCAAAGCTGCGCATGACAGTGTTATTTTGGCGGCAAGGTCACACGTTGTCAGTTGTTAGAAAACCAAAGTCAGAGAGGTTTCTCGCTGCCAGAGATATATATAAGTACGCAGCTCTAATTGAAAGAGGAAGTGCGAAATTGCATCTTTGGAACGACTTTTTACTTGGATCAAAGATGGCAGAGGAACGCAAAAGAAGTGAGTTATTTCAAAAGTTATATACATTGGGATTGGCATCTTTCTGAGATGTGGCAGAAAAATATATTATACAGAAAATGAGATTTTATTACATTTTTGTAACAATAAATACATGTACATACGCAGAAATTATTCATACTTTTGCATTTATATGCGACATTTTAATTATAATATATATTTATTTGGTAAATCAAATAATCGACCAAACTAGCAAAAATCAATTTATCTTCACGACGTTTCGACCATGCGATTGTGGTCCTTATCAAGTGAACAATATATACTACAAAAAATAATTTTAAAAAAATATTAAAAATACAAAACTAAAATAAAATGAAAATATAATAACTACTCAAATATATATTTATTTGATTTATAATTTTGTCTCGTAAAGATTGCATGTACAAATTTCATTGGAAGCTTATTTGCAAATTCACTATAAATAATATGATTTTGTGCTGAATAATCTTACGATCTTTCGCGGAGTTAATGCGCTCATAATTTCAAGGACGAAAAAAAACTCGCTGCGTCATAGATAAAATTAAATCAGAAAAGGACCCGCGTTCTCGAGATTAAAATACGATGACATCGAATACATTATGCGAATGTAAACTTAACGATAATATCGTACGATGTGTTTTTATCATTTTTTTCTTTGCGTGATTTCTCGCGTAATGTCGCGAAAAATTCTACTTGCACACGATAATGGCAGAATCACAAGATACTTGTTTCACGAGATTATTATATTTTGATTAAATGTAATAAAACGCAATTCAGCAATTGATATCTATTGAAGATCTAATTTTAGCCTTTTCATTTCTATAAAGATTATCGTGAGACTCGAGAATGCGATTGTTAAATATAATACTAATAAGTAATAAGTAATTAATAATGAATATTTAATGATGAATATTTAAAAATTATATATATTATTTTATAAATTAATTTTTAATAAAATATTTGTCAATTATTAAATATATAATTATTTATCACGGAAATTTTAATGTGTAAAATATAAGAGATTAATTATTATTACATATTTTTGTTATTGCTGTGAAAACAAATATAGCAAAAACTTTAAATATTTTTGAAGAATTTTATAACAGTATTCTCGAATTAGAAAAATTATATAGATTTACCTAAAAGCAAGCATTAAGATTTTGAAAGTTATATATTACAAATGAAAAATTAGTACAATAAAAAAGAAATGATAAAAAATTTTTATTAAACAGATTTGTTATTAAACAGAAATGGATATCTCGAAAGTAAAAGAAAGATGAATTTTTATCTTTTATCACTTTTGTTTATTTATTACAACTTTATTTATTAGGTATTTCGCAATCACGATTGCAATTCATTCTAGATCAGTTTAAAAAGTAGGTTTGTGTCATTAATTTTTAATGCCGGAGGCATATATATGTGAAACAAATATTGCACAAGTGTAATTATATTTCCAGCATTTATGGCGACTGTATTATGTAAGGAGAATGTATTAAATATATATAACATTTTTATAGAGAGAATGCAATATGTACGTTATTTATAATTGTCAATATATAATTGTTACATTTTAAATGTATGAATGTTTTGTGAATGCTAAAAGAATTAAAATTTTTAAATTATCTTGTATTTTATCAGTATTACGAAATTGTTTTCTTTACTACACGCTATGTAAAAAAATGGGAATAAAACGCATTATTGCAATTTAGTTTTTAATGCTATGATTATTTTAAAATCATTTTTTTCAAATAATTATATAAAATACAAAATTATAAAATAAAAGAGTATATATATATATATATATAAAGTAATTAAATACAATTTTGTTTAAAATGATAAAAATGTAATATGTATGAATTTTATATGAGTGACGAATTAATTACATTTCATCAATGCTGAAAAATGATTCGCTGTAGCAGCAAAAAATTAGTTTCAAATTTACTGCCGCGAAATTAGCTCTAATCAATAATTAATGCATTTTTCTGATGAATTTTTGCCTGTTTTGATAGGCAATTTTGTGTTTTAGCTTAAAAATAAAAAGAAAAAATTAAATTTTTTTTTCTAAAAATTGGCTTCTCTATAATTAAATAATTAGTATTAAGTACTGCAAGTTAAGCACTTATGTAAGTCATGTTAGAAGTTTTATTAAAGCTCTAATTGCGAAAAATCAAATAAAAAGCTCACATGATAATAAAATTAAATGACGGTCAAAATTGGACCATTGAATTTTGAAAATAAAAATACAAGAAAACTTATTATATTGTGACATGTATATACAATTCAAGAACCGCACTCGTTGGCAGTCAGTCCCATCGCAGTTGGCAGTTGGTATATCAATTTGCCAATCATCCTTATCACAATGTGTGTGTTACAAATGCATATCTACGTATGCATAGTTTATATATCTCGTTTTATATTTTGCGTTTATAGTTTATGCATATATAAAAGCAAAAACAAAAGAATTATATGCCACAATAAAATATTATATGCCATAATGCGCTTGACACAATACAGAATATTTTTATGTATAATTCTGAAATATATTTTAACTTTATATTTCATTACAAGATATCATAACTTCTCATCGAGATGTTATAATAATTAATTCTACTAATAGCATTAATGCTGACAATTCGAGTATTTCCATTTTTTTCTAGTTATTTTATAAAGCAAGACAATGCATTTAAGAGAATTCTTATATTATTTTACATTCATCTACATCTGCATGGTGAATAAGATTTTATTTCCTACTTTATTTCTATTACATTTCCATGCAATTTATCGTTGCACAATATCGCGTGATTGTCTTCCTGTCATTTTCTGCAACGCTTAAATTAGTCTAGATGTTCCGTTGATTTACATTATTAATGTAATTTCATGCAATCACTGGCACTTTTCTATTTATGAAGAAATAGTGTTTGCACAAAATACACAGAGATTTGTTTATATTAAATTTAAATAGCGCACATATTACGCGCGCGCGCGTATATGTATATATATTGTAACACGAGTAAGAATAAAACTCGTTTATCATGTATATTCATTACATTCATAATATATTGTTACACTTGTGCAAATAATTAACTATTCATTACTTTTAATTGTGCACAAAAAACAAAGATGAAAATAGTCGATCGCATAATCAGATTTATTGATAAAAGAAAAAAGAAGTATCATTCGCATTAAACGAATTGTTCCACAGCTATATCATGTTTTAATACAAAAACTCATTTATTTATTGCATCTGTATCGGATATACAAAATAATTAAGAAAAAGGGATCATTATGTTTATGTTTTTATTACGTTATTATATTAATTATGCTTATCCTTCCTTGCTAATTAAGCTAAGCATTTAATTTCGAACGACGAAATTCTTTTCTTCGTATAAGATAGATAATTTGCTATTTGCATTTCATTGATACAAATATGTCCTTGACATACTCATTGGGAATAGAAAAAAATATTTTCTGGATAACGATTATGCGATCGACTAATCATCGACAGGAATCATCCAATCACTTGCCTCGTAAGCGTTTACGTTTTCCTGCTGGCATGTGGCATACGTACCAGGCTTATCCAATGTGTTTAGTCGAAGTTCTGCTAGTGAAACGACAGGATTAACGGGAGAGATCGGCAAGATCTGTTAATCAAACACGTATTTTTCAGTTTGTTTTCCGTGCAACTCGCTCATAAATCATGAGTTTTTTAAGTAAGTTGTAAAATTAATATTGTAATTATATGTTTGTGTCATATTTTTGTGTGCAGTTAAAAAATGTAGAGTTCAAAATATACTATTCGAATAACGTGTGGATAAAAATTACGTATATTCAGTATTATATATAATAGAATAATTGCTTACAAGGGGAGTGCACGGCCTTCCTCTCACCGATTTTAACGAAAAGTTTTTTATGTGTAGTATTTAATTAGAAACAAATTCTGTTAAAGCAAGAGAATGCGCTTCTCAAGCGTTCGTCTAAAAAAAAATGTTAAAGATTTGCCAGCATGTCTTAAGCCGTTACTATTTTTTTTTGTTTTTAGGAATATTTTTTAACATTAATAAATAAATATAAAGTTTTTTAATTATTGGCATTTAATTTTTAACATGTTGTTCCATATATTTAAAGAAAATTCGAATGCTTTCTGTCAAAAATATAATATAAAGAAATATTTAATATTATACGAGAAATATATTACTATTAACTGAACATATAAATAAATTTACAATAATAATTTTTAATAATAATTATTAATTATTTACAATAATAATTTACAATAATAATTTTTTTAGACGAACGCTTGAGAAGCGCATTCTCTCGCTTTAACAGAATTTGTTTCTAATTAAGTACTATACATAAAAAATTTTTGTTAAAATCGGTAAGGGGAAGGCCGTGCACTCCCTTTGTTAAATTACTCTGCAAAATTGAGCTTTTTTCTGTTTGTTTTTGTTCTAGAAGCAACAAAAATATATATGTACGTATCGAGAAAATATAACTTCTTTTATATTTTAAATTTATTTTTACTTTTACTCGGATATAAAAGATCACATGACTACAAAAAAATATAAATTTGAGACATAATATAAAAATATAAAATATAAAAATATAATATAAAGCTATTTGTAGAATATAAATACTAATTTTAACATAAGAATATACGTGTATATGTGTAAAAAATTAAAATTTTATATTGTCTATGTATAAGAAATTTTATATATTGTGTTCAGTGAAAGAGAGGGATATATAATTTTTTTTGTGCATGGAATATAAGAAGTTTGGTATTTTACATATATAATAAATGTTTCTTCATAATTTAATTTTCGCGAATTCTCTCTGCGAATGAGTCTCATATACATATAATAATAATAATAATTATTTATTTCATATGTGATAAATATTACGTGTGAAATATAATCGAATGACATTGATATTTAATATATGATATTTATTAATTGTACTGTATTAATTTACATTTATTGACATTTAGTGTTTGACGTAATCATTCTGATTGTTGTACGATCAGGAAACTGCAAATACAGAGTGATTATGTCGCATTTGGTCGAGCTTCATGAATATCTAAATTTCATAATAATGTAGTAACAATGTGGAATGATTAAATTTACAAATATTTTAAATATCTCTCTCTCTCTCAACTATATTAATTATATCAAATTGCACAAGTGTCATATTTTTTATCGCATGTGTTAACAATTTATAGAGAGTCTATCTATGTACAATATTCAATTTAGAATTTCATAAAATAAACTATGTTTCGAAATAGTGGGTATAATATATGATATGTGATATAAAGTTCTATTTATCTCTGTAAGAATAAAATTCTATTTATCTCTCCCTCCTTCTCTCTATAAATAGTATAATAAGGCACATAATTAATTATGATTTTATGTATACATACACATGCACAGCATATTACGGCATTTTTACATACAATTTGCTTTTAAAAAGGAGAACCAGGAACGAAAATAAAGTTTGCATTTAAAATGCAAACTTTTTCGATTTAACAACTCATTGTAATTAACTTGTTGCGTAACTCATACTTTTTGCAATTGTGCGTTTAGTTGCAAAATAACTTTAAAAAAATTTACATTGTTATTTATATATTCATATTTGCATCCAAAAAACATGCAATAAAAAATTAATTAATTCTACTATTTTTTTAATCAAAATAATTTAAAAAAAGGAATGATAATAAAAGTAATACATCAAAATTACAATATAAATATGTAATTATAAAATAGGTAAATTAAAGGTCGACCAAACTGGCTATAAGCAAATTTATTAAATTCACAACGTTTCGACCATTGTTTGCGGTCCTTTCCAGATAAAGATTGAAATTACAAGAGTGATAAACGAGACTACAGTGGCATGTCATATTAATAATATTAAACAAATATAATACAGTGACAAACGTATTACTACCTTATTAAGATTCAGGTAGTCAAACCAGGCCTTTTGTCCTTATTTATTTTCGTTCAATTATTACACTTAATCAATTGTATTAAAAACTTTTGAAATTAACGTTAAATATGAGATAATGTTTTCCACATGACAAATATGAGAATATTGTAAACGATTGACTTTGTGAAGATTAAATCACTTTATGAAAAACAATATGAAACGTCATTATTACAAGAAAAATAAACTCAAGCAATCTTTATTATTTTATCATAAATAGGATTTAAATTATAATATAAATTTGTTTATAGCCAGTTTGGTCGACCTTTAATTTATCTCTTTTATAATTTTATCACTGGCGACTTTTATAATATACATATATCTCGATAAATATATAATGCACAAATGAATATGTAATGTAGGGACGTCAACGGAGGAGAGTTTGCAGTATATCAGGCAATCTCTAAAATCGGAAGAAATGGATCATTTGGAAGGCACTCATTTCGACAGGCTTATTCCGCATCTGTTTATTATTCTTGGAGCATCTGTGAGTATTTAGTTTTGAAAAAAAATTACATGCAATTAAGTAATAAGTAAAAATAAATAATAAGGTATATAATTATTATAATTAATTACAATTATAAGAGCAAATAATTTATATTTTATTTCCATTTATAATTGTTTATCGCAGTATTTGTATTTTAATACACAGTTTTACATACTTTGATAATTTAATTGTAAATGTTTTGATTATATTGTTCAACAATTATATTTGTTTCTAAAACAAATGATATTAAAATAGGTAAAATAAATTTATGAAGTGATTCACCCAAATTTTCAAAGTTTTCCAATAACGCTAAAATTTGCAGAAAGTGTAGTTCTAACAAAAGTAAAATTACTTCTTGTTTAACCCATGTTCTACGGGTTTTTTTTGTTAACAGGGATTTGAATTTTATTTGAGCCGTTGCGTTCAACTTCAAACGTTGATAAATTTCAGAAGACTACTCCGATTTTAAAAAATAAAGTGTGGTTTCGAAAGGTCTTTTACGTACTTTAATCCTGTAAAATTAGTTTTTTCTTTCAATAGCAATTTAGAGAAGAATTTCAAAAAACAAAGTAAAAATCAATTTTTTCTCAAATTTAGACATCTTCGATTTTCTTCAAAAAAATCTTTAAAAAAAGTACAAATTTTCTCCTTTAAACGCTTCCAGGACCAAGATAGGTAGGCTTTTAGTTTTTAAGATCTAGTCCATATTAGAACCAAGCGCGTCATTTACGATACAGTTCGGGCGCTGTTACAAATACAGGAAGATATCAGAGCAAGAGAGAGAGAGAGAGAGAGAGAGAGACAGAGAGAGAGAGAAGGAGAGAGAGCGAGAGAGCGAGCGAGAGGAGAGAGACAAAGAGAGAGAACGAGGAGAGAGAGAGAGAGAGATAGCGAGAGAGAGAGAGAGAGAGAGAGAGAGTCGGAGGGAGAGAGAGAGAGAGGAGAGAGAGCGGAGAGGAGAGAGAGAGAGTTTCTATTGCTTGTGGCCAGGCGTGGTGACTTCTTATATATTATATCAACGTTTAAAGTTGGACGCAACGGCCCAAAATTCATGGTCAAAATTCAAGTCCTTGTTAACAAAAAATCCATAGGGCGTGGGCCAAACGACTTGAGAAATAATTTTACTTTTGATAGGACTACACTTTCTATAAATTTTAGCGTTATTGAAAAAGTTTGAGAATTTAGGTGGATTACTTCATAAATAATGCTCCATATACATTATAATAAGCAGATATTTAATTTCTTGTATCTTATATTTTTTCATTATATGTCCGAATTTTGATTTTAATATTATATGCTTATTTTGGTGACAAATAGGGTGATCTTGCCAAAAAGAAGATCTATCCAACTCTCTGGTGGCTTTTTCGAGACAATCTTCTGCCGAAACCCACTACCTTTTTGGCTATGCTAGAAGCAAATTGACGGTTGCAACAATTGCGTGAAAAGTGTCATCAATATATGCAAGTAAAACCAGACGAGGCGAAAAAATATGAAGAATTTTGGAAGCTAAATCATTACGTTGCTGGCTCATATGATAATGCAGAAAGCTTCGAACTACTAAATGATGAATTGCGAAAATATGAACAAGGAGAAATTGCACACAGGCTGTTTTATTTGGCACTACCACCGAGCGTGTTTGAGAGCGTTACACGACACCTTCGACATGTCTGTATGGCAAAAAAGTAAGCACACAATTTTGGATTTGTGAAATTTTTATGCGAAAAATAAAACAACGTGAATTAAAAATTAAAAAAAGAAATATCTTATAAGAATCTATGAAATAGTTGATTTATTATATTAATAATTAAAAAATATATTTTTCCAAGTTTTATTACAACAAATTCAGACTATATTAAAATTTTAGAGGATGGACGAGAATAATAATTGAGAAACCGTTCGGCCACGACGCTATCTCGTCGCAGATACTCTCCGATCACTTGGCATCTCTATTCAGCGAAGACCAAATGTATCGTATTGATCATTACCTCGGTAAGGAAATGGTGCAGAATTTAATGACTCTGAGATTCGGGAATAGGGTGTTCAATCCGTCATGGAACCGAGATAATATAGCTTCGGTGCAGATCACCTTCAAGGAACCATTCGGTACTCACGGCAGAGGTGGCTATTTCGATGAGTTCGGTATCATCAGGGATGTGATGCAGAATCATCTGCTGCAGATTTTGTCTCTAGTAGCCATGGAGAAACCCACATCTTGCCATCCGGACGATATTAGAAACGAGAAGGTAAAGGTTCTGAGATGTATGAAGGAACTACAGCTTGAAGATGTCGTTCTCGGTCAATATGTCGGAAATCAAGATACTGAAGATCCGGAGGCACGTTTCGGTTACTTGGATGATCCTACGGTACCAGCAGGCTCTAATACGCCGACATTTGCTTTGGCGGTGCTGAAAATAAATAACGAAAGATGGGATGGCGTTCCGTTCATTCTCAAATGTGGAAAAGGTAAGAAGATTGGAGAGATCTATTTTTGGAAAGTATTTGCTTCTTTTTCTTCTAATAATTTCTTCTAATATTACAGCTCTAAATGAACGGAAAGCAGAAGTTCGAATACAATATCACAATGTATCAGGTGATATCTTTGATGGGAAGGCGAAAAGGAATGAAATGGTGATAAGAGTGCAACCGGGTGAAGCTTTGTATATAAAAATGATGACGAAGTCACCTGGTATTACGTTTGATATGGAAGAAACGGAATTGGATCTAACTTATGGTAGTAGATACAAGGTAAATGACATACACTTTATTGAGGAATTTAACATTTATATTAAAATTGGCAAAGACTAGAACATCTCGTAATAATAAATATATAATATACTACGCGCTCATAATATACATATGTTATAATTATCATATTTTGCTTTTTTAGGATTTAAAATTACCGGATGCTTATGAAAGATTGATCTTAGATGTTTTTTGCGGTTCGCAAATGCATTTCGTGCGAAGTGACGAATTACAGGAAGCATGGCGAATATTCACCCCCTTACTCCATCGAATCGACAAAGAGAAAATTCTACCTATTCCGTATAAGTACGTAGCGCGAAATATTATATGTCTTACGTATGTATTGAAGCATGTATGATTGTCTATTTAAAATTTCAGATACGGATCCCGGGGGCCTAAAGAAGCGGACGACATGGCGAAAAATAATAATTTCGCTTACTCTGGTTCGTACAAATGGGTGAAGCCGTGACATTGTGATACAGGATCATTACACAGGGTGGACTATTTTAATCAATACAAGCAGATATCTCATAAAGTAAGCAAAATAGAAAAATATGTTTTATACAAAAGTTGTAGGATTCAGAGGGGGACACTTGATGAGGGCCAATAAGGCCGATTTTTGGGCCCAAGTGTCGCACGTTTTGATCGCATATTTGTATAGTTGAGGTCGAGAGCTTTCCGAAACACCCTATGAAAACCTTTTTACGTTAGGAAAGTGAAAGTTATAAACCCTTAAAGTTAAAGAAACACACATGCATGAAGTAGACTGCTTTAATTTTGTGGTTATTTAGGAGTTATTTTAAGATCAACTTGATTTTTTTAAATGGAACCACCAATTTTTCATATCATATTTTCGTAGTTGCTGATGTCGAGACCTTTCCAAAACACTATAATAAAACATTTTTTATGCGCCTATACAAAAGTGTGTGCTCCCCGCTTTAAGGTATGGTTATCTTTATAACTCAAAAAGTCATCTTTATAACTCAAAAAGTAATTAATGAAAAAGTATTTTATTATAGTGTTTTGGAAAGATTTCGACATCAGCTATAAGAATATATGAAAAATTGATGGTTTCATTTAAGAAAATCAGATTGACCTTAAAATGACCCCTAAATTTGACTCCAAGGTCAAGGTCAGAATCCTCATCAAGTATCCCCTTCTGAATTCTACAACTTTTGTATAAAACATTTTGCTTACTTTATGATATCTGCGTGTATTATTTAAAATGGTCCACCTTGTATATCATGCAAGTACAAATCCTAAAAAATCTATGAAGATTTGTTTAGAGACGAATAATTTTTAACTGTCGCATTCCAAAAATTTTGAGATTGTTATACATGTATTATTTTACAATTTTACATGCATTTCTATATATTTCGTTTTTATTTTACAAAGTTATCATATGTAATAATCTCAGTTCAGGGATGTTATTTCCATTTAAGGTAAGCATATTATCTTTCTAAAATTAATTGTGAGGAAATAAATATCGACTAATCTATTTAGATCAATTTTATTAAATCTTGATAGTTGTGAAATACGTATGATGCTAATCGCGACATACTTGTGTACAAATATTTTTGATAATACAAATTATACAGCATTAGAGATTTGTGTGAGATTATTTATAACTATAAATAAATAAGAGAAAGTTGAACTGCTATATGTATATATATTTTCATGAAAAAGCTTTACTCAAAGTGTGTCATAAAGATAAGCAGTATATCCAAACATCTTACATCTCTTATAACACACTTTTGCAACTCATTATTTAATCTTGCTATTCAGCTCTCTCTTATATGAAAAATCAATGATATATATTTTATATAAATATATCAATATATGAATACAAAAATTGATATGATTATCAATGAACTAAAAATTATATAATTTATACATATTTAATAAATATATATTTTTTTGTTTAAATATTAAATGGTAAAAAAGTTGAAAAAGGAAGTAAGAGATCCTTGCACACATATTAAAATTTTCTTGAAGTATTCATTGTGATATAAAAAAAGTTAAGGATATATATAAAAACAAAATCTAGGAAAAAATTTAAAAATTTAAAGTATTATATACTTGTAAAATTGATATATAGTAGTAGATGATTAAAAAAGATATAAATCAATACATATTTTCTTAATTTAATGGTCAACACAAGTAAAAAAACAAATTTAATAATAGTTTGCACACATTTATTGATAAATAAAAATACGATCATGTAATATCGCTATTTGGAATGTACATAAGGGATCCTTATATCTTGTTATTAATTTACAACTTAAAACAGTCAACATTAATGATATAGAAAAAAACAAATTATATAATCTTTTACTGCAAAAGTGAAAATAAAGTTTGATTTCAAAACGGCTGAACTGACTAGAATAACAATAGTAGACAAAAAAAATCGGCAAAATAAAAATTCAATATAGAAAAAGAAATTAATTTAATCACTGATTTAAGCAATTAAATTCATTAAGATTCTACAAACAAATTTCGATATAATTTTAATTAAGCAGAAAGTTTGTAGAATGTATTTTTGTTGTGCATAAAAGAATTATTAATTTGTTAATTAAGGGTCAATACATATTACAAAAAATCTATAATACATGTTATAATTCATGTTCTTATAAAATGTTTTTGTAAATCATTCTTTTTATATGTAGGTACTGTTTTATTTTTCTATTTAGATTTATGGAGATCCAGATGTGTGACACAGTTAACAGCCGAAAATCAGTGTATTTTATTAAAATGTATTCTAAATTTTAATAACTATGTATATATTGTTGTTTTTACATATAAAAGAGAAAATTATAATTTAAAATTAGCGATATCTAATGATAAAAAATGACTACCAACACTATGATGCATTGCACAAATTAAATATAAAAAAAAATTAAATGTTTTTACATATTTCGTCAAAAGTAGCTTCGTTAAATATTTTCTTGATTAGAACCATTCACCGCAATACCAAATATGAATTTAAAATTTCTGCAGTGTTGATCAATATGGCAATGTTTTTTTTTGGTTGAACACACTTCACAACAGTATAGTAATTCGTAAAAATGTCGCAATTTTATCCAGGTCTATGATTTAATTAAAATACGATTTATATGAATTTTACTTATATCAAACTTAAATTTCACATGCTACAGGATCCAACAATTCATCCCAATTGATACTTCTCTGAAATACCTCCTGTTGCAACCATAATTCATAATGTTGTTTAAATTCCTCAGTCAATTCTACATTTGTACCAAGTACTGACGTTACAGATGCGTCAATTGGTTCCATCTCTTCATCTCTCAAGACATTCGAGTATCTTCGATTATTGAATTGATCAACACATGTACGTAACTCGCACTCTTCAACTTGAAAATCCCATGGCCGTGCTTCTAAATCTAATTAATATATATATATATATGAAATTATATAGTCACATTCTTTGTGTCATAAAAGACCCCGCACAAAACCACGAAACGACAAGCCGTTCGGTCAAATTTTTGAAACTTCTAAAATATATTTTTGTAGAAATTATATCACTAGAAAAGTAACGCTAGACAACATTTCGATACTTCTATCGGCTGAATGGCTCGATGAATGTTCGAATGGCTCGAGTTTTATGTTCAAGAGGACTTTTCAGCATCACATCAATAAACATTTTTCGAAGTTTCAGAAAATTTGACCGAACGGCTTTTTTCCGTGGTTTTGTGCGGGATCCTTTGTTAGCAAAATAACATTTATGTGTAATAAATTTGATATTAAAGTTTTGATAAATTTTAAAAAGGACACACATATATTTGTATTTACTTTTTCAATTATAATTATAAATAATGCAAAATCTAAATTTATTATACCATTGCCATATGCCCAATCGTCGTTTAAGCGATGTCGAACCTTTGCATATATAACACTGATTGTTTTCATATTTGTTTTTCTCCATTGTCGACCGAGATATTTCGTTTGCATTTTCAATAATTTTAAAACGTATAATTGCATCATTGCATGTCTAACTTTCAATGTACGTTTTAAAATAGGTGCTGATTTAAAACAACCAGCATCTGCAAATATGAATAATTTGAATATATAATTGAATATATACATTTTAATATATATATATACATTATGTGCAATGTCATATATATATATGTATGTATGTATGTATGTATATATATATATATATATATATATATATATATATATATATATTGTTGACTTACCATTATCCTACTATGTTTCCATTTAGTTAATTTGTTTAAAATTCTTAGTAAATTGATACAAGAGAAAACATTTCTCCATGAAAAAGATTGACTGTGACCAATTTCGAGACTATCAGTAGTTAACTCTGGCTGATCGCCAATAACACACATGGGGAAGTCCAAAATAGGAATACTATTGCAAAAAAAATTATTAATAATTGGATTATAATGCATATGATTAGAAATTTAACTCGCAATCACATTCTTACTTACACATTCTTTGATTCTATGTAAGTTATAATGTTCTGATTTAAAAATTTTAATACAAGTGGTATGCAATTGGCAAATACTAAATGCTGTGACATAAATTCGAATTGGTATATGTGATTCAGCTTGAAATGTTTAAGCAGCAATAATAAAATTGCAGAAACAGCTTTAACAATGATCTCTTATGTCGGCTAACATCGATTCCTAATTTCATTGATTGTAGTACTGTCATTCTGAAATAATATAATAAAAAGTTTTTTTTCTAAAAAGATTTTATGTTAATATTACATATTATTATTTGTACTCACGGCATTTCTTCAGGTAGTACGTCAGCCAAAATATTAATGCTGTCCGTTTTGGCTTTACTAGTCGGTGCAGCAGCAAGTAATATCTTCAATAATGCAATCATATATTGTGGCAAATTCGGTAATATAGCTTGATAAAGAATTTCTGTTGGCGTTTGACGTAATGGTGGTTCTGAAGTGCTCATTGGATTTCTTGCTATTTCTTCTTCCCTTTGTATTTGAATTTCTGCTAGAGACGTATACATATGCTAAAACATTGTAACATTTAGTATAGTAAATTGCATTGTAATACTATAATAATTTATATGTTTTAAGCAAATACCTTTTTCAGAGTAGTGACACCTTCATGAATCGGTTGCGGCAAACCTGCTAAACTTTCTCTGTCTCCTTGTAATTTGTAACCAACAAATTTTAGTCTCGCAACTTCAAGAAAGCTGTCTACATCTTTTTGCCTTACTTTGGGTGTCCATGGTAAACCTAATGAATAATAGTAGATATTAATATAAGATACAAATTAAAAAATTAAATTAATATATTACCTTTTCCTTTCATAAGTTGTGGAATGCTTGGCCTCATTTGCGATTGATTATTTTGATCTTCATAATATGTTTGATTCCAACAGCCACCAGGTCCACCAGGACCCAGGAATACAATCACCTCACCATCTCCTTCATTTGTCGTAGTATTATTTGGAGGTTCGCCTCCTTCATACTCCATACCTAAGCCTGGATCATCTAATGAACTTTGTTTCATCAGAAAATTCTGTAAAAAATTTGCAAATTAATATATGTAAAAGTTTCAAAGCAATTATAGTATAAGATATATATAATTATAGTATAGTAATAATTAATAATAATATTATGTATAATACTAATTTTAAATGGAAAAATTACCCGTCGAAAAGGTCGATTGTTCCTTTTCTGATTTTGTGTTTCTAATAAATCTGCTGCACTCATAGGTGGAGAACTTGCCCTCATTGTTCTAGCAACTTCAATAGTGTCTTCCTGCTGTGTATCGAGACCAGCTTCCTCACGATACAGTTTCTTCAACTCTCTAAGTGAGTCGATGCCACCGAGAGAAACCAGAATTAGCTTCCACAAAAGTAAGAGAACTTTCTTCATAGGAAAATGTGGTGCCGAGCCACTGCAGAAGCATGTCACCATACCAAGAAGTTTAACAATCAGTAATTCTTCTCCATATGGATTTACTATAGAGAAAACATATCCATTAACATTTTAGAAGAACAAACTTTCTTTTGAAATATGATAGTTGTTAAGATATTCTAGATAAACACAATGACATACCAAGATCTTCTTTGAAACCTTCAACATTTTCTTTATACTCGCTGTGTTCAATATTTTTTAATTCCTCTCTCATCACTTCTGTTATAATGTACAAAACGGACAGAATGACTCTTAGATCTATTGAATCAGCAAGACTAACAGCTAGCTTTCTCATTGCTGTGGTAGCAGTTGTGCTATTCCTGTAAAAAATTCTTTAATGTACAAAAAGTCAAATAAGAATCTGTGCATTCCAGTATGACAAATATATATAGTATAATCTTACTCGATCTCAATATTTAGCAGTTCAACAAATGCTGGAAAAATGCCAGCTTCATAGAGTAACATTACATTTGTCCTAGTCCAGTCTTGTTGTTCTTTGTCAGACTGTACCTCAGCCCAACAACCCTGAGCTAAATAAAGGATGCAGCGTGCCGCCTTCATTCTGAGCTGTTTATTGGAAACTTCTAATTGATCCAGCAATTTATAGATTACAGATTTTTGTTGTGGTCTTGTTAAATTTTGCCACCATGGTCTTAATTTGTACCATTCCATCTGATCTTCAAAAGCCTACAATTTATAAAAGCTCATTTAATCTGGGTTTTATACGTGTTGCTATACTAATTATTTTTTATTTCTAGCATAACAAATTCATCATTATAACTCAACTATACCTTAAGATTAAGTTGTAATTCATACTGCTCTGTATAGCTATATAACTCGGCAATTTCATTAGTATGTATATCAGTGTCATCATAAACAAATTCCAGATCTGCTGTAGTTCTGTGGGATCCTGTTGCTTCTCCTGGATTAAAAGAATAATAAAACGAATTTAGACATAAATATAATTGAGAAAATTTAATAATACGATAAAAGCTAATGGGCTAATTGTAGAAAATTTTTATCTCTGCTGAGAATCACATTATACATTTATTCTAGTTTTATGAAAATATATTTTCCAGATTTCCAATCTAATATGGAACAATATATATATATATATATATATATATATATATATATATAAATATATCCATAATACATCTCCAAACATGGACCATGACTTATTTGCACTAATCAGAAATGAAATAATAGTCGTGAGTGCTGTCAAAAGGAAGTTAAAAGACAATCTGGTTCACCAGCTTATTTAAAAGTGATGAGAAATTGGAGACTGGACCCCCGTGGACAGGATCGCGTTTGCCGTTTCCATTCGCATAGTCTATTGCTGCGTCGTGCTCAAGGAAAGACGACATTTTCGTCCTTTGACATTTACGTCACTTTAATCGCCCGGACGACGAATATTGCACTATAAATTGTTCGCTATCCCGTCTAACCCGATTTATAATAACGAGGATCCCCGAAGATCTCCGTTCGCGACTGCTGCTGGATACTTCCGTGCCATTGAGCTCTATAGTATACTTAACTTTTCCTATACTATCCTATAGAAAATCGGAGCCAGAATTAGAAAGAGACATGTATATTCTTGGGTGGATCTCTGTCTGTGTTTATACTGTACCATCTGAACTAAAAACATTTCTCTCTCATCAGACATTTAGATAGATTTTCTCTAGAAAATATTTTAGTTTTTTTTATTTAAACAGCAAAATTAGAAATGGTTAATGGTAAATTATTTTTTTTTCATTCAAAAGTATACATGTATATTCTAAAGCTCATTTTTCATGCATTTCTTCAGAAATATCACATACAACATATATTTTCTCATCACAGGATAACATCTAAAATATTGTTTTTTTTTAATAAAAATTTGAAATATAATATATACGCAATATGATTTAACTGATAAAAAAATCATAATTATTTTTCTTGCAAAAAAAGAATACTTTTATGTATAATTATTAATTGCAATGCATTGTAATGCATTGTAACTACAATAAAAAATGCAATACAATGAAAAGGTAAGATTATACAAATATTCAATAAGACAGTTTTCTGATATTGCAATTTTTGAGATATTCATAATATATTAGATATAGAGAATTTAGATAAAAATAGATTATGTATTTAAGAATATAGATTTTATGGATACATAATTTGGGAAGATATAATTTAAGAACAGTTTAAAAGCAACTTTTTTATTTATTTCTTCTTGTTAATTATTTCTCAAAACTTTTAACAGTTTATTTCATTTAGAACACAGAAAGTATTTAAAAAAGTATAAGATAAATGTAAAAATGACAGCTCTTCTCTTTTGGCAGCATCACACACATACACATATTTTACATTTTCTATGTTCAAAATATATTACACATTGAAGGATAAAAAAAATATATTTAATACGTGCAATAAAAACAGATATATTTTTTTGTCATGCTAATTATATATTCTGATAATTTTGAAATTTTCTTAATATATATACATATATTAATTCATAATTCTTTGCTTCCAGGAATCTATGTTTATTTTACATGCACCTTACATTTAATGAACGTCATCTAAGGGTAACAGAAAATTACATAAGAGAAAAGAAAAGAATATACAGTTTGGAATTTAATAAAGGTATTAAATAAAAGTAAATATATAATTCTCAAAAAATTAGGGCACACACAAGCAACATTGCATTGCTACTACATGATATACTTGATTTTGTTGCGCAAGATAACACTAAAGCCTTTGCATATTTTTGGCTTCCAAAAATACTTATAAAGATTGTAGACATAAGTAAGTCGAAATACACATATACAATCAATGCGAAAATAACATTGTGAGAAAATTAAACCCATTCAAAATAAAAAAAAAAAAAAATTGACGTCCAACAACCACAATATAAGATCAGAGCACATTCTTACCATATTTAACCTAAAATTATTTAACAGAGATCACACACATTCAGCAAGAAAATCAGTCAGAATTCCCCGTACAAGTGTCGTTTAAACACGATTTATACGTGGTTACAATATATATATATATATATATATATATATCTGAGAGAGACATGTTTATGGAAAAAAAATCTGTCAAAATTTCTTTTATTTTTACGCTTCACTCACACAAGCGAGTCGAGATTTCGAGACAGACGAATGTCTCGCGATATCGATACATCGATTAAGAGCGTTCGAGAGTTCGATATCTCGAAATTCTAAATTTCACGAATGTCGCGATTTGGTGAATCAATTGGCATGCTTTATGAGAAAAGGAAGAAGTCAATTTTATCACTCTATATACATACAGTGAACACTTGTAAAATTGGTTATTATAGATAAAATATATATTTAATAATATAGATAAAATATCATAAGTATAAAAAATAATCTGTGATGTCCTTGCAAAAAAATATATGTATGAGGGAAAAGAAGAGAGAGAGCTAGAAAGAAAAAAAATTCTTTTTAATATATAAAATTCTTAATAAAATATATTTATAATCTTATAACAGTGTCTTTTATTAATTTAATTTGTATTTATTAATTGAAATTTCTATTTTAAAAGACTGAAAAGATAATTATTCCCAATTTCTATTCACTGAAATAAATTTTTATTTCAATCAATTGACAATTTTTTTCTATTATTTAAATCTAGACAAAATTAAATTTAATTCTTATCTTTCCCAAAATAAACACACAATCTTTATTATTCATTAAATTATTCATAAAATTGAAAATGCATACGCTTGTCTTACACACATACATATATAAACAGCAAGCATGTGCACAAACTAATTTCTCAGTCAATGTTCCCTTGCCAATGGAAAAATATATTTCGTTTTAAAAGTAACAATGAGGAAAAGTTTGTGTTACGGAAATCACTGATAGTTTAAACATGTAATACGCCAAACTTCTCGAGAGCGAGTCCTACGAACCCCATACAGCATAGATTATTGCAATTATATTGCAGCAACGTTGCAATGTTGCAAGTTGCAATGCAACATTATAAAGACATTGCAGAGATATAGGTGCACAAAATTCCAGCACACTTGTAGCAACATGACATTAATCTTTCGGAAATATTGCATGTAATCCAAATTCTATAATTTATATATTGTAATATATATACATATATATACTCAGCAAACACCAAGTTACAGCTATATAATTGTTAGTTGTAATTTCCCACTCAAAATATAATACGTGTATTATAACAATTATATTGTTGAGTGGAAAATTACAACTAACAATTATATAACTGTAACTTGGTATTTGCTGGGTATAATACTGTAATAAAATAATTTTTGCAATATTGTACAATAAAAGATGTTAACGATAATCAATAATTTTATTATCTTCCAAAAAGCGGACATTTTAACATTGCTGCAATTCAACAGCAATGATGTAGCAACATTTTGCAGTGAATTTGCATATTGCAATATTGCGGTGAAAGATTGTTGTAATGTTTTTGCAATCTAACGGTGCTGTATGGGACACGCTAGCAACGCTTCTCTTTTTTTTTGTTGATGCGGTCGTTTTCGGCTGGCTTTTTTTCGGAAAAATATGAAACTTACAAAATGTAATTACAATTATAGGAGAAACTCCTTATGTCAATTGATACACTTTAGACACATTCGACAATTATTCAGCACCTATGCGACCTTTATTAGTCATATATATATTAAGATTTTCGGTATCCTTTTGTAAATTTATTGTGTTTTTACTGTTTTTCTTAATATAGAACATTTCAGCAATCTCTCTTTTCTTAGTATGTTTTTCTTTATGTAAAATATTTGAATGAGACCAATCAAAATCATGGTTAAATTCAATTTTATGCTTGTTAATGATAGATAAATTACTAGTGTGCATTTTGATATTGAAATGTTCTTTGACACGAGTGCTCAAATGTGTGCGTGGGTGTGGTGTGTGCGTGCGTCTGCGTGTGCGTGGGTGTGTGCGTGTGCGTGTGCGTGTGTTGTGGGTGTAGTGTGTGCGTGTGCGTGCGCGCGCGCGCGTAAACATACCATTTTATTAATTAACGTAAAAAATTCAAAACATAATATATAATTCAATATATAATTCAAATAAATAGATAATACATTTTAGTTTATTTATCATTTCACATTAATAAACATATTTATATACTTATATTATTTAAATTCATACACATATTATTATTTTATATCTATCAATAAAATTTATTATTATATATGACTACTTTACTGTGATTACATAGATAATAACCCAAATAGCCACAGTAATTATTATGACAGCATTTTGATGTCATAATAATTACTGTGGCTATCTGGAATATATCACCAACTACTTCAGCAAGTTCACAAAAAAAAAAAACTTTTGATATATGCAGTCGTAAAGTTTTATAAATATAGAGGCACAAAATGTAATGTATCTATATAAACAATAATTTAAGCAGTAATAAAATAGTACATACAATATAAAAAAATTATTTATATGAAGCATATCCACGCATGCAAAGCTGCAATTTTTTTGCATTCATCAAATAGAAGAAAAAATTTTCAAAATACTGTCTCTGTCTTTCGATTGATTGTTGCAAATTACTATCTTGGTTTCAATTTTGTCAGAATTCTGTATTATGAAATCCTAATATACATAAACCAAGATTTACACAATAAAATCAATATACTGTTTATATAATAAACAAATAAAATATAAAATTAATATTCAAGATTAATAACATAGAACTATATTTCTTTTTCTTTCGCTTTCCATAATATATTATATTTATTAAATTTACCTTTTTTATGTGATAATTGTTAAGTAAATGTTCTGCGTTATACATTTTATAAAATATATGACTGTTAAGTGCGTCAGTAGTATAGTGGGCACTATGGCCCGTCAAAACAAACCCCCACCACCGATCCGTCTGGCGCCGTGTCTTATCTTATCTTTCCCCCACCACCGGCGTCTGGTTTTTCCGAGTGTGGGTGTAGGGGGAGAGGGTGTTGGGGAAAAAAAATGGCGACTGGCCCCGAAAGGTGGGAATGAGAATTTTTTTTTATTTTTTCTGATTTCCTCTGGATTTGAACCTGGGGCCTTCGTGTTTCCGAGCAGGGTCCTAGTATGTTGAGCTAAACGAGATCTTACTAGTCTAAGGATTAGATGAGGTATTTAAGCTAAAGTTGCGTAGGGTACGGTATGGGGGTACGGGTATACGTATGGTAAGGATAGCTCGTCGAATCAAATGGTCGATATTGGGCGGGGTGGGGTAAAAACAGTTAGGGTATACGTATGGCAAGGATAGCTCGTCGAATCAAATGGTCGATATTAGACGGGGTGGGGTAAAAACATTTTGACCAAGAAAAGCGTCATGCGGTCGACCGAGGATCGGTGGCAGGTAGTAACTGACAATGCCGTAGGGTAATAAAAAAAGAACACGCAAATATTTGTACTGGCGAGCATTCCGACTCGTGTCACGATAAAAAATAATGCATCATCGTAGATTAGAAAGAATGCTTATTGTTGAAAAGATGTCAGATAAAATTTTATTTTAAAATAACTCGCTGCTTAATGAAGGTAAACAGAAACTGGATGTTGAGGAATTTCTGGAAAGAGGAAGTGAAAGAAAATTGAACAATGGTTTTAAAAGTACAAATATGATTTATATTTAAAATATTTTTACAGAACAAAATTTATTTATTAATACTAAAATTCATATTATATATTGTTATGATTCGCTTGTTTTTTGTGAGTAAAAATTTTATGAAATAAGTGTATGATTAAACGATCGTTATATTCACAATCTTCGGAAAAAAGAGCGAGAAACTGATTAAGATTATAGCCGCTACACATATAATATAAAAATACACAGCAGTATTGTCCGCAAGTCTTAGAAAAAATTCCTTGTAATTGTTGAATATTCCAACGATGGATGATGGAGTTTCGTCGAAGTCGGTGAGAAATCCTGGATACAAGGGGGGTAATCCGTAGCTGTCGAAGTAAGACGCTGTGCCGTGTTCATCGAGGTAGAAAGCGATCCAATGTTCTTCAGGTCGATCGTGATTGTCGGTGTTAGCGACGATAGCCGTCGACCTCGTCCACACCTCGGAACTCTGTCGGCTGCATAGACTCCAACATGTCTGGCATCTAGATGACGCAATGCTTGTAGAATTTCGCGAGAGTTCATTTTCTTGTCCCGAATACGAACGAGTGTACGGTATTATTTGAACAATACCAGTTTTTTACTTCTTTCGACAATGCGTCTTCTTCTATCTTGAGTTGTTTTGAGAGGTTTTCAATGTCAGTTTGCGTCGAGATGGAAATTGTTTCGTTCTTGTTTCTATCCGTCAACGTCGATGACGGTTCAGAAATCACAAATCTCTCTTCTTCTTTTTCAATCTGCTGTTCGTTGTTTTGCTGATTTTTCTCCTCTATTTGTATTTTAGTTGTAACGGTTCACCTTTCCCGACGCCGCGGATCGGCTCGCCGGTTCCAGGATTCGGGAGGAAGGGGGAGATTCAGACTCGCTTATTCCTTATTAACAATACTTTGGTTTATTCAAAAAGAAACAAGTAAACAAAATGATTGTTGGCATAAAGCTTAAATAGAGAAACTTATTGACTACCCGGTATAAACGAAATGTTTGTTGGCATAAAGCCCTAAATAGAGAAACTTATTGACTACTCGGTATAAACAAAATAAGGAGGCGTATAGCCTGTAGCGGTGTCCGGAAAAGATTTACAAATTACCCGGTATAACTTAGAGATACGGTGTATAGCAGGAAGAGACCGGAAACCGGGAAACCCGGCGTAACAACGAGAAACCCGTTGCCCGGCGTGTAGCAGGAAGAGACCGGAAACCGGGAAACCCGGCGTAACAACGAGAAACCCGTTGCCCGGCGTGTAGCAGGAAGAGACCGGAAACCGGGAAACCCGGCGTAACAACGAGAAACCCGTTGCCCGGCGTGTAGCAGGAAGAGACCGGAAACCGGGAAACCCGGCGTAACAACGAGAAACCCGTTGCCCGGCGTGTAGCAGGAAGAGACCGGAAACCGGGAAACCCGGCGTAACAACGAGAAACCCGTTGCCCGGCGTGTAGCAGGAAGAGACCGGAAACCGGGAAACCCGGCGTAACAACGAGAAACCCGTTGCCCGGCGTGTAGCAG